TCGTAGAGCTGCTCTTTGCTCCTCTTGACTGGCGCGGCTTCTTACAGTTTCGCTGTAGATGCCCAGTCTGTCCACAATTGTAGCATCGGACAGCACTCAATGCTACACCATGCTCTCCAGTAGCATCAGCAGTGGGGAATTAGAACTCTGTTCTTCCCTCCCCCTGTCTTTTTCTTCCAGTGCAGCAAGTCTGTCGTGTTCATTCAGGACCACAGCACAAACTCTCTCCGCGGTCAGCTGCGCGGCCGGTAGGGAACCAAGCTGACTGGCAACAACCTTGTAGGTGCGGCTAAGGCTGTTTATCATCATGAAGCAAAACACTTCCTCCTGAAGACGGAAGTTGCGTTCCACCACCTGTTGACGCAGAAACTTCATTTCTGTCAGGTGCGCTTGAACATCTCCATCAGGCGCAAGTCTCAGATTGGTCAATTTCTCAAAATACAGCAACGCTGAAGAACCAGCATCTCTCTGATGCGTTGTACGCAGTGTGTCCCATACCTCTTTCGCATTTTCTAAATGCTGAACATGCACCAACTGATCATCTGAGACACACAGAATTATAGCAGTCCTGGCCCTTACATTCTGTGACTCCCAACCTCTGGTTGGTGCTGCAGGGATGGGGTTTTCAATTACATCAAAAAGCCTCTGATTCTGCAGCAGGGCCTTCATCTTTACAGACCAAGATGAATAATTGTCATTGGTCAAGGGAGGTGGGCAAGGCAAACCTCCCCCTTTCTTGGCATCCATCTTGAAGCCAAGCCTCTCCAGCTCCAAACAAGCTGCAAAATCCAACAGCAGTTTTTTTCCTTTCTCACGCAGCAAACTGCAAATTGTTTACGCTCTTTGCACCTGGCAGCTAAACTCAGGCTGCTATTGAAAAGTCCCTTCCAAGAGCTCGTAAACCTTGTAGCCAAAACATTCTCTGGTTTTGTTTCGCTTTCCCAGGCTCACACTCATAGTCCAGCCCCTTGCCAGTAACTTTCCAGGACCGTTGCCTAGCAACAATGCATTTCAATGGGACTCCTTATCTACCACAAAAATTTGTGGAATGCAGGCTTCAGCCTTCAAGCTGCAGGCCTCTTCCTCCGGAGCTCTTGTTTTCTTTGAAACGCAGCTCCGTGAACCAGGGAATTAATCTTCCTGCGTTCACACTTTTAGCCCGAAATGCAGCATACCTTGAGCTCCGTTGCTTGGGAAAACACCTCTTCTTTCCACCAGCTGTCTGTGGAGCCTCTGGCTTCTTTCAGACGCTTTTCTCTTCCTCCTTGGAGCAGAGGAGGACAATCCACCAGCCTCTCATGCAGATGTCCGATGGATCGAAACCATCCGAAGGCTGCCACTGTTGGAATTCTGCCTGGGTCAGAGGAATGTGCCACAGCGTAGGCACCGGCAGATATTCCTGTCGACCTCCCTGCGTCTCCACTCTGCTGATAAGCAGGCGAGGTCCGGCGATTCTTCTCAGATGTATGAGAGGAACACACCGTTCTTCCTCTCTCCCCTTTGGTGTCCCCAGGGATGGGAAAGAAGCAGACAGAAAACTATTTACATCATTTATTTCTGCCTCTTACATCAGTACAGAGAATCATGTCTGCACTCAACAACAGCAAGAAGAAACTCCTCCCAAGTACATCCAGTACGGGTCATATGACACACACACACTGAGCTAACATCCGGTGCTCAGTACAGAATGGACTGCCCCTTTGTTCCCATGGCAACAGTCACAAACATCCTGTCTGGCTTTCCAGCCACAAGCAGCTGGCTGAGCTGCTAGAGCCTTTGCTTGCTGCAGCATTGGTGCTTTATGGTAACATAGAGGGAGAGGGAGAGAGAGTGCAAAGGGGGGGGGGGCTGGAAGAAAGAGCTTTTAAAAAGCACTTGAAGACTGCTCAAAATTTATCCTAAGTAAACTATTATCCAAACAACATGTTAACGAACATCACAATAGCCAACTGGCGTCTGCGTTTCTATCTTTAGCAGATCACTCCCTCATCATGCTTATGTGAAACATTAAGCTGGCTAGCTCATGAAATTAAAATACACACAGGCACACACCACACACACAAAGAAATGTTTCATAGTGCGTTGTAGCAAGAAGACGCAATTCCTTCCAAACAAGGTCAAGGTTTGTGGACTGCCAGAGGTCTAAACGCCTGCAACTGAGAGGAGAGCGGGCCAGTCCACTTTTTCCTCTTTCTTTTCAAAGCCTGCTCCAGAAAGGTTTGAATATATATCTCCTGTCGGATAGCAATGAAATTAAAAGAAAGATCTGTATCATTTCATGGCGCAAACCTACTGACTGTGCAGAACTGCAGCAGTCCAGAGGGGGAAGAAGCTGCCCCCAATTTACGAGCAAACAAACAAAATGATAAACTCTAAAGGGTAGAAACGTAATAAAGGCGATTAATTGCGCTGCTACGCTTTGAGGGAGAAATGTCCTTGTTAGGTTATATATTTTCATTGCTTTTCCAAAACTACTATTCTAATTATAGGTAACCTTTAATTAATAAATCAGAATTTAATGTCAATGTAGTCTTTGGAATAAAATTCTAATTGCCCTAATCCAGAAAAAGAGATCTATCTGTTCATGCCTTCTACTGTACATGCATCGTTGAGGCAGACGTGCATCTCAATTTGCCTCACCCTGTATAAGTGTCATGGACTGGCTGCATACAGGGAAGAGGTGGGAGCATCCCCTGGGGAACCCTCAAGGGATGAAGGCTCAGAGCCAGGCGATTGGTGGTGGGACGATGATGTGTGGTCAGAGGGAGATGATGTCAGAAGCTGGAGAGGGAACAGAGCTTAGTGAGCAGGAAGAGGCTGGGGCAGAGAGCAGTCCAGAATCAGAGGCAGAAGCTGGCAAGGAGGGGGGCCAAAAGGCAGAGATCAGTCAGGCTGCTGAAGAAGCCAGGGATTGTCCTCCTCCTGTGCTATAACCAGCTCCTCTCCCCATTGGTCTCCTGGAACCCACAGAGGTATGAAGTGGTTGGAGCAGACAAACAAAGCATCAGCGTTCAGATTGCTTGGGAAGGAACCAGGGGAGGAGGAGACATAGGGAGCTGTGGGAAGGCGGGGACCTTAAGTCCTCACTACTGTCTCATAGGGGCAAGATCTACTGAGAACAGTTGCTGTGGCCTCACTAGGCCTGGCCTCCTGAGCTGTACTGTATCTTTCCCTGACACCAGAGCCCACTGAATTGGCTCAATGTGCAATTTGATGTGTATGGGGACATACAGCCACGTCAGGGATCACCAGTTTTGTGGCGCATGTCTAGGGTTGCCATATTTTGAAGAGCAAAAAAAGAGGACACATTTGCCAACTTCTGCTTTTAACTATGGATTGCTATGATTGCTCTACCCATGAAAAAGAGGACATATGTGTCCTGGAAAAAAAGAGGACATATGGCAACATTATTTGCACCATATTGATGTCAGTAAGTCTTGAGTACAGCAGTAGGAATGCAGCAACATTTTAGAAATCTTCCATTTTCTGGTGAAGATAATCACTCTGCATGTTGATCCAGCTAAATTCAGCATGCATAAATTACATTAATTTCAATATGGAAAACATTAAGCATGTACATCTCCCACTAAGATTAATGGACTGTAAGCATGCTAAAAGTTAGCTGCACCTTGGCTTCTGTTTCACTGTATTCTGTCCGCTGTCAAAATTGTCCTTTTGTACAGCCTTGCCAGCTATTTCAGGGGTATATTTTACTTGCATTCCTTGTATGGAAAGAAAACAAAGGCAAAAGTAGAAATAAGTGAGCCAAAATGGAGACTTAAGCATAGTGGCAGATAGAGAGTCTTCATTAAATCCAATTCCAAAAGATGGATATTTCAGTTACACTATTATTACATGCTTAATTTCAATTGGATAATTGGATAATGCCAGAAACAATATACTGAGCATGCTTTGTTTTAATGTCCCATGGCTTTGAAGTTCCGTAAATCACTATTGGTATTTGAAACACTGTCATGAAGTGGGAAACAAAAAAAAAATTAAAATAAACTAGCTGAACAAAATATGACACTTCAGTGTTCAGAGACTAAATCGTTCTATTGGCAGAGATTCTCAGCGCCATTATGACTAAGAAATCGTTTCTCCTTTCTTAGTAAAGCATCTGATGTTTGAAGGCAAGGGTCAGCAATTAAAAACTGCCTGAGGATATGTAGCTGGAGGACCCTAGCTGCGTAGGTTATAAAGAAAGCAAAGACAACATATTTGAATCCAACGTGTTTTGAGGATAGCTCTTTCTCAAGGCATACAAGTTTCATCAAGGCCATTTAAATCAACTCATTTTTAATACAGTAATCACTCAAATGGTGAAGGTAACACAGAACATTAAAAATGTGGCAGAGACAGTTTAAAAGAATGTCTTCTGCCATGAAAACAACTTTTTTTTTGGGGGGGGGATCTGCATATGTTCCAAAGCAGGTAGGGCAAAAGCAGAACAGCAAGAGCAATAATTAACTCTCAAGTTTAACCTCACTGACAAGGATATCCCCAATCTAAAACTAATTTTAAAGGCCTCTGAATGTTCCTCATTCAGAAGGAGTCAGTTCCTCATTTTAAAGTCTAGGCATGAAAGACAAGGAACATTTCTTAATCTCACCAACTCACACACCCCTCTCCACACAACAAGTGACAGATTTAAACCCTGTCCACATCTCATGGAATCCTGGCTCCCAGGCACACAATATTCAAGGACATGCTATGGTTGCATAGTCTGAGAAAAATGCACTCTGCATATGCTCAGGGGGTAAGTTATGCTTCGTTATTAATTCACATAATCCAGACAGTGGTTTAACAATGACTCAAACAGATCCCCTAATGCAAAAATATCATGGGAAATTGCAAAGAGGAAGTGCAGGAGATTTTTGAAAATGTATACTCCTCCTATTATCCGTCAGTTGCCCAGGGACAAAGGGAATAATAGAATTTGTAGAGTTAGAAGGGACCACAAGGGTCATCTAGTCCAACCCATATGCAATGCAGGAATATTTTGCCCAATGTAGAGCTCGAACCCATGGCCCTGAGATTAATAATCTTGTGTTCTACCAGCTGAGCTAAGGAGGAACACAATAACTTTATTCACACTACATCTATATGTGAATGGGGCTGGTCTTGCAGAGAAGGGATCAAGGTTCGTGAACACAGCAAAATAACCCCAATCATAATAAAACCTCTTAAGGGACTTGATTTCCAGTCAAATGTAGAAGTCATATTTTGATCAAGATATACATCAGGTCTCTTAAGTCATGGTCAAGTGATCATTCTGAGAGGGTAGGAGATCCAAAAAACGCTTGGATACTTTTCTGAATGTAACGAAAAAGAGTTACTCAGTTAGCTAAACCAACTTTACATTGCAGCCACCCAAAGTAACAAGAAAAAGCTAATCCAAATGTATATGAACATCATTTGATGCTCATCAATCAATGAATCTCAGGCTGAATGTGTGAACTCGCATATGATTTACGTGAGACCCCAAAGCTCTGCCTGTGGTGTAACATGACTTTCTCACACCTGCAAGTAATCACCTGGTGTCGCAGAACAGTGAGAACAAGCTTTAATTATTCCGTTTAGCCTTATGGTCTAAGATATCCCAGATCTAAAACTAATTTCAAAGGCCTTTGAATGTTCCCCATTTAGAAGGTCAGTTCCTCATTCTAGACATGAAAGACAAAGACCTCTCCCTAATTTAAATTTTAAAAGTGAAAATTAAATTGAAACCCTGGGCACAATTCACCCAAAGCCAAGCACACATTTCAGTGTGGGAGAGTTAAGCACTCTCAATGGTCTCTCTCCAATGGAAGTCAACAGCATTCTGTTATCAGGCAGAAAACCTACATTTACACATATTCTCAGCTACAAAGACTTAATAATGAGAAGGATGGAGTCTAGATAGAACAACAAACCATGGTTATGTGAGTCAGGTTTGGTTGCATGCCACCCTCCTCTCCATCACAGGAATTCCGTGTCTGCTTTCTTGGTTGGAGACAAACCATAGTTTGCTTACTTGAACAAAATGGGAAACTCTGGTCTGCATCAAACCAAGAAAGCAGGGAGTGGGGAGCCCAAAAGTTCAACTAAACCTTGTTTACATAATGCCAAACCATAATCTGGCATCACACCCAAACCACTTCTTTCTCTCATGTTTCATGGTACAGTTGTACCTTGGATCTCAAATAAATCAGGTCACGAATGATTGAAACCCGGAAGCGAGTGTTCTGGTTTTTTAATTCTTTTTGGAAGCCGAACATCTGCCAGCCAATTAGAAGCCGCGCTTTGGTTTCCAAACATTCTGGAAGTTGAACGGACTTCTGGAACGGATTCCGTTCAACTTCCAAGGTATGACTGTACTACCATCTTGCCAGTCATATCCACTGGCTTTGGAGAAGTCTTTGGATGCATATTTGACCAGTAGCTCTCATGTATCAACATTGGGTGGGTGTCAAAAAATTTGGGGGAGGGGGGTAAGATCACATTCAAGGCGTGTTACCATTAAATAGAAAGAAAGAAAGAAAGAAAGACAACTGAAAGAAAATGCCATGACTAAAAAAATATATTCCGCTCTTAGTTGCTCAACTTTCACTTTTATGACATCATTTCCTCAGTTCTTTAACTTATGCAAACAGGAAGATGTCAGTCTAATGAACCACTTGCACTAGAGAGAGTATGTATGGGTAAGGGCAAAGAACCAATATTTAAATGTGTTAAGGGGCCGGTGAGGGATATAATTTTTTTTCTCTTTCAAATTTTCTTTGCACAACTTTAACGAACTGGGAGAAAAGCCCAAATGTTCCTGTTTTTAGGTCACCTCTGAGTTCATGGGTTTTGTTGAAAATTTCCACAAAGTTTAAAAAACAAATCTCAAGTTCAGCAAAAATACAAGTCAGCTCTATAAACAGGACTGGAACATAAATTGCTTGATGTAATTTTAGGCTGCATAGAAAGAGAGCTACTATTGACAGACATAAACATTCATTTTCAGTCACACTTCTGAGTCATATGGAGCAGAGTCAGATTTGAAGAGCAGGTCTGGATTCCTGTACTTCACTCCACTTGAGAAATACTGCAGGACGTACAGCACAAAATGTCATAATAAACAGAACTGAGAAGGGAGGGGAGAGAAAGAAAACATGTTTTTCTCTCTGTTCCCCCACTTCCCCCCGCCCCCGATTTTCCTACAAGTGAATTTGGTGCTTTTTGCCTTTATAAGTTAACCAAATATACTTCTCCCAAAAATCAAAGCCAAAAGGCAGGAGGCCAAATACAGTTAACAGATAAATCGCTGTTCCTGATTATAGAGGATTTCGTTCATGTGTTGTGGGCTTGGTGACAAACATTGCAGCAAGGAAAAAGAACACCATTTACACATCGCGTCAACCTATATTCACATAAAACAGAAAAGGAAAAGGAAATACTTTTGAAGATCTGGAAAAAAAACTTTTTAAAAGGAAGAAAGGAAGAGGTAATAGCCTCTTTGTTGGAGGTCAAGGCTTTCAAAACTTGGAAGTGCTCTGCTGTTGCACACAGCATAGCGTTCTGTGTATTAAATGTGTTAACCGGCGTTAACATCACTAAGATCACTGTAAACAAGGGTGAATCACCAGTTCTGTTTTTGTGTCCTTTTTGAACTGGAAGACCTGAGCACTCTCTTCTTCTGTTCTAACGTACAAAATAGCATTGCCTCTATAAACCTATTGCCGTCTCCTTGCCAGCAGTTTCCATTTAATTAAACTGACAGCAAAACAGGACCCTGGCTAATGTGATCCAGACCAGTTTTCCTACAATGTAAATTCTCAGGCATGAAATTACATCTGAAGCAGACACAATAATCTTTCTATATCTCAGACATAAATTTAATCTTCACTAAAATAACATTTCCTTTGTCTAGATTGGTCTGGTTCAGAATTCAATTGTGTTTTGGTTTTTTGAGAGAAAAAAAAGTTTGGTGAGTTACTCAGTTTAAATTCACCTTGCAGTAAATTCCGGGGGGAATTCACCTTCCTTGAAAGATCAGGGGTAGACAACTTCGATATCCGTAGGTGCCATCTGTTCTCCCAGATAGAGGTCTGGGACTGGAAATGTCTTTTTCCAGGACAGACTGTGGATTTTCATGGACATTACACCAGAGTGTTACACAGAAAGCCAAGTACTGATTTTAACATTAAATTTCTATACCACCCTTCATTTACACAACAATACATGACATAATACAAATAGAAGCAATAACCACACACGTAACAGTTTTGAATTGTTCAATTAGCCAAAGGCTTGGGCAAAGAGGCCCTAGTTGTGTGTCACTTTTGTGTGAACAACTCCAAGTAGCTTGGGTATCATTTAAATTACCCAGCACCATGCACAAGGACCAGTTTTGTGCTTGGGACTCTCACAATTAGCTGGGTCACTTCAATAGTGCTAAAGCTAATGGTTTACAAGCGCTCCAGGTGTATTACTGAATGTGGACACAATCTTACAAGGTGATAAGATAAAATCACTTGCTACCTCCCCCCCAAAATGCAAGTGAAATTGTAGACAAGCTACATACTGCTTTTGATTACACAATCTACTTGGGTCCTTTCAACACATCTGAGTGGTAGAGCCCTTGCTTTGTAGCAGAAGATCCTGGCTCAGTCTCTGAAATCTCCAGTTAAAAGGATCTCAGGCAGTTGGGCTGAGAAAGACCTGTTCCTCCGAACTCAGATAGCTGCTGTCACTCAGAGTAGACCATACTCAGCTAGATGGTCTGAGCCAGCAATGATGATGGTGATAATCATTTCTCACTGACCCTTCACCACAAGGTCCCTGAGTAGATTACAACGATATAATAATACAATATTAAAATCAGATTTAAAAATTCACCACCAGAGGAATAGGGAGGGTCATATATACAGTGGTATCTCTGGATGTGAACGGGATCCATTCTGGAGCCCCGTTCGCATCCTGAAGCGAACGCAACCCGCGTCTACGCGTGCGCGGGTCGCGATTCGCTGCTTCCGCATATGTGCATGACGTCATTTTGAGCGTCTGCACATGCGCAAGCAGCGAAACCCGGAAGTAATGCGCTATGTTACTTCCAGGTCGCCGTGGAGCGCAACCCAAAACGGCTTAACCTGAAGCGACTCAACCTGAGGTATGACTGTATCGGGGTCAAAGGCCTGGGTAAGAAGTACAGCTTCACCAAATGGCGGAAACTATACAATGAAATTGCTAGAAGTGGAGAGGGAATTCCGCAATTTAGCATAAACCAGTGACATGTAAATGCATCACTAATAGTGGGTCCAAGGGTTAAGAAGGCGGTATCTGCAAGGGCTGTAGAGGGAAGTGAGATGTATAAAAATGGCTGTGCATTACAGTGAAATAGTGTGATCTTGATTCTCTCCTGTAAAGTTCTTTCCAGAGCTTCCTATAACAGCTAGGCATTGTTTGCCAAAAATGAGGAAGTCAGCTCTTTGTAGGAATGGGTCTAATGCCGGGTAGTGCTTATGAAATTACATGCATGGGTAGGAGGCACCTTGAAGCTGCTTAAATTCTAAGCCTGAGTGATGGAAAGGACAGAAAATTTCCCGCAAATCATTTCCTCCCTAGTCAAGTACTTGGAGCAAAACCCTGGTACGTGCCCAGCCCCAAAACCCTTGCCGCCTAGATGACTTCTAAATATTTGGAATTATTATTACCTGCTAGATCAGGTATGCAGAACAGCCTTTGACATGCCCACTCACCATGTTTACATGCTCTGGGCATGTCAGGCAATCTAGCTGAAAAGTACTGTTGTTACCATCATCTCTCTCTTTTCCCAAGAGAATTAATTGCTGTGTTTTCCTCGAAAGTAGAAGTGACTTGTTTACAAAAATCAATCAGCACACCCACACACTATTACTCCCTGCTCCCCAAAAACAGTTCCCCTTTTAAGTTTGTCAAGCAATAAACGGCAGTTGTGCCAGCCCTTTGGATGTCCCAAAGGCAACATTAAACAATAATTGTTCAGTTAGGACTAGGAGTACAAACACTATTACTGATCCACTTTGGTATCATAACCATTTCAGGCAAGGGCTTTGATGCTACAAGTA